GTGGTCTACGGGCCTCACGAGGCGAGTGGGAGCGCGCGAGCCGAGCGACCTTCCCGGGCGGGCGCAGGAACTCGGCGGCGGCAACTGCGGGGTGCGTGGGGCCGTCAGGCTGAGCAGAGGCTCGGGAAGTGAGGCCTGCCCGCTCGCCTCCGTGTAGGGCCGCCGCCAAAGTCCTAACAGTGTGATGATGCACGGTGGTCCCTACCTTTCTCGTCTGCCACTGCCCCCTGCGCCCTCCTCTCCTCTTTGCTATCCTTCAAAGCGCCAGGTGTGCCCCTACCTTCTGCCTCACTTCAGCTCTACGCCGACGTCACCCCCTGGGGACACCTCCCCAGACCACCATACTCACCTGTCAAGTCCCGTCCCCTACAGCCACACATTTTACTGGCTTTCTGCACCCCCCTCCTCAGACATAAATTTAACTTATTCCTCATCGTTTGTCTCCCCACCGGAACATAAACTCCGTAAGGACAGGGACTTTAAATAAAACCTCATGGTTTATTGCCACTTTGGTGGAAGGCCAGAGGGGTGGAAATAAGCATGACACGTTCGCAGAGCAGAAAGGCTGCTGGTGGGGGAGATGCGGAATAATTCTAAACGAGACTGAGAGGCTTCTAGGGAGGCAAGAACTCAGGGCTTTGTAGAACAGGAAAAAGATTTAGGGTTTTTATCTCACTCTGGTGAAGCCTTTGGAAGGTAAGTGACATATGTGAGTGTGTAGTGGAGACAGACTCGGACTTGATATTTGCAAACAGACTCTGGTGCAAGTGGAGAATAGGTTGGGAGAGGATGAGTCAAGGATGGGAACAGGGAGGTCTGTTAAGAGAGAGATGAGATCCAGACATGATTGTGGCTTAGAGACTGGCCCAGTGGTCCTCCCTCAGGCTGTGTTTTGGAGGTAAAGTAGTTGATTGTTGGGATGCTGAGGGAGAGGGAGGGAGGGAGGCTGAGGTTAAGGGCATGAGCCAGAGGACTGGGTAGTGTGAGCCGGGAGTGGGCCTGGCTCACATGTCCTTCCTCTCCACAGATTCGGGGCTCCCGGGCACGAGCTCTGCCCGACAGGGCCCTGGTGAACTGTCAGTACAGTTCTGCAACCTTCAGCACAGGTGAGCGCAAGCGGCGGCCACATGGAGACCGTAAGTCCTGCGAGATGGGCCTGCAGCTGCGTCAGACCTTCGAGGCAGCCATCCTTACACAGCTGCATCCACGCTCCCAGATTGATATCTATGTGCAGGTAAGCAGGCAGCAGCCCTCAACGCGGGGAGGGCAGAGATGGAGGGTGTGAGGGGGGATGGGGTCAGAGGTCAGCAGCCTAATGGACTGATGCCACTGGGTGGGGTCCCTGCAGGTGCTGCAGGCAGATGGTGGGACCTATGCAGCTTGTGTGAATGCAGCCACTCTGGCAGTGCTGGACGCTGGGATACCCATGCGGGACTTTGTATGTGCCTGCTCAGCTGGCTTTGTGGATGGAACAGCTCTGGCAGACCTCAGCCATGTGGAGGAAGCAGCTGGTGGTCCCCAGCTAGCCCTGGCCCTGCTGCCAGCCTCGGGCCAGATTGCACTGCTTGAGATGGATGCCAGGCTGCATGAGGACCACCTAGAGCAAGTGCTGGAAGCAGCTGCCCGAGCTGCCCGCGATGTACACACCCTACTGGACCGTGTGGTCCGGCAGCACGTAAAAGAGGCCTCCATCTTACTGGGGGACTGAGCCCATGGCCACCCATGCCCAGAATAAAACCCACATACAGTCCACTGTTTGTTGATCTCCCCACAGCACTTCCATGCCCTCAAGAGCCTGACCTGGTGCTGGCTCCAGGGGTGTCTAAGGATGCTCCTCCCACCCTCCCCACCCCACGTGAACTATACATACTCCTTATAGCCTCAGGACCGAAACCCTGAAGAAGGCAGGATGTCCCTGGGTGAGGAGCAGCTTGTGCCAGGAAGGGGTCACAGCAGCTGACCAGTGAGACATGGCCTGGTATAATGAGCCAAGCCCTTATACTGTGGAATCTGTCATTCTCACCCCAGCACATCCAGGGCCCAGAGCACAAGAGCTGAGGGAGAACTCAGCTGGCTATAGGTACCCACCATGGAGACGTTGAGGGGGCCACATCCTACATCCTTTGGATTATGGCTTGGACAGAATGGTCCCTTTTCCCCCTAGGAACTCCTTAGGGCCTCTGCTGCTACTTACCCTGGGCTCCAAAAGTACAAGAGACACATGATCTCGCCTGGAGTCTTCTCAGCTTTCATCCTTCCTCAGACACGGACATGACCCCCTTCCCACCACTGCACTGTCCTCTTCAGCAGACCCCCTTCTTCCATCTCCTGCCCTTGGACCTGCCTGAGCCCTGACCACCAGCCCTTGCAGCCTGAACCCAGGGGCTGCTTCTCCCCTAATATCCCAAGCACCTCCTGGCTGGGACAAGAGTGCTCCCCACTGTATACTCCACACACCTCAGCTCCTCTGAAACCCCTTTTGGCCGGTAGTATCATATACACCTTCCTCCCTGTGGTCATTTGACCCCAATGACCTCGGTTCTGGGGACATGCTGTTATTTCCACTCAGGCACCCACTGCTGTTTTTGGTGACCGACATCCACAGAAATGGGGCAGCCAACGCCTTGGCCTGTCGGTCCACGGAAGCGCCGTTACTTCCTACCGCGGCACTCAGACCTGTCATTGCCAGTAACAGCGCCTTCGTATATCGGGCGTCTAGGCTCTGGTCGCGGCCTCCGGTTTTCCTCCCACCTGCCCTACTCATGACCTTTCTCTGATTCTCTTTGAGCTGGAGCTTTCTCTTTGGC